TATGTGAATTGGCAAACATTCGTTCCAATTACCAGTCAATTATTCTTATCGTTGCTATTTAATCGAATTTGGTATAGCGTCTGTCGGTTTATTAGAACATTACGGATAAATATTCATGAAGGTTGTTCGAGACCCCTGCGTTATTTTGTCGTCGTTCTAAGAAACCGGCCGAGCCTCGTATCCATCGCCACAGTTGGTGTTGGTTATTTTCTCTATAGAATGAAACTCGAATTTGCAAAGGCGGTTGTCGTCTCTCGAGACGATAGATGCCAAGCAAGAAACGATCCTACATAACACGTTGTTTATCGAAGCTGTTCGAAAAGTTGTTTACTCCGTAGCGTCCGTTTCAGCGACGTACTTTTACCGCGCTAGATTTCTTACTCGTATTTACGTATTATAAATAGAGGCGATTTTCGAGTATCTTGACAGATGTACTCGTCTGCCTATCGCGGAAAGCAAAGCGAGCGGAAGGATCAAATGATCTGGGTGGCGCATAGCTGTGGCGAGAAGATGGTTCGAAAGGCACGCAAAGCGCCAGATATCGAAAGCAGTTCGCATTACCAAAGCATTCTCGATAATAAAGGAGCCGCTTTCTGCGCAACTTTGTCGCCAGAAAGTGAGAACGAACGCGCTTAGAATCTCCCTGGCTTGTTCAGTGACGTTGCTGCCCCGTTACTTCTCGTCGCATCGCGTCTCTACGCTTTGCGATTCCTCCCTTTCTTCCAATCGACCAGAAAAAGTCGCTTTTTAAAGCGTAACGTCGCGCCGCCCGTAACCACGAATTATCCATTCGAATATTTCTATCCGGTTTTCTCGTAGTATACGTGGAATTAAGGTCGGCTACTTGGGAAACGTGCGCAACGATAAAACGCAAAGAGCTTGGATAGTACGATAAAAGGATGTGGTCCCTAGTCGGTAGTCTGGGAAGCGTCGTTCGATAGTTGGCCGTATCCGAATTGCACGAGAAATTGGTCGTATGATTTTATAGTAATAGGAATCAGGTGGCCATTGCGATAGTTTGAAAAAGTAGGTCGACTGTCCCCAGCTTGTCCCGCGGTGACATTTTGTCACCGGTTTCGCTGATGTTTTCGAAACGAATAATTTTCCGTATTCGCGAACCAAGTTGTCATCGGGTTGTCGAAGGTGTCGTTGTTGGTACAAACGCGAACAACGACGCCCGAAATCGATCATCAACCCCTTCTCGTCTCGGAATGTCCTTCTCACAATGACAAACATATGCGATATATTCTATCCATACATCTCGATAACGTGACGCGACGCTCGAAATATTTAAATACATCTGTCTATAAGTACAATTGATTGGCGGCGAAAGAAAATCGCGAATGAACGGACAGGCAAAACCGTGGTTTGCAGCGTTTTCGCCGGATGCAATGGATGTTCATCAGGAGCATGAAGCGGAATTTGCATGACACCGGGAAGGAAGAGGGCGAGACGCAAAGCGGCAGGCGAGAGGAACGAAAGGAGCGAAGGCGGGGCCGTCGTCGTTGCGTTTCCCTTGGTAGCTAAGCAGATTCAGTGGCCCCGATCTTAAGTTTTGTCCTTGGTATCGGAGGATAACGAGAAGAACGTCTCTGCGATTCATCTTCTTTTTCTCCCTTTTCTTATCATCCTCGGTCACCTCTTTTGTCCGAATTATTCGTTCCTCGTGAATTTCCGATTCTTCTACCTGTGCATACGACACCTTTGGATTTTCGCTGTCGAATCTCCACCGATCACAGCTATTGTCTTGCTGCGTTTTCCTTGAAACGGTTCGATTTCCTACGGATATATGGCACTGTGAAAGGTGAAAATTCACGGAGGTCGGAGCTACCGGTTTACCTGTTCGTCACGAAGTCCGTCGTCTAAAGCGTGCGTTTGCCCCCGAACCTCGAATACCGTTGTCAATAACTCGGCGAATAACATTCTCACAGTGAATTCGGGTAAGTACGACAAATGGGCGAAACGAGTCGTAAAGAAAGACGCGCGACGTTCCGGTTCGTTGCTGCCTCGACTACCGCCAGAATCTTAAACGCTGCTGGCAAATTCTCTCTCCCTCTCTCTCTCTCTGTCTCATTCTCTGTCTGTCCCTTGACAAGTATCCTTCCTAACGCTCGATATGTATGAGCGTCGAATCTAATCGTCCCGGTTCTATTACCTATAGGATTTGCTAGCTTCTTCTTTTTACTAGTCGTTGTACTTGTCATCATCTGTATCCTCACTGCTGTACCTAAAATTTTATTACAAAACTCATAAGCTTAACCATTATCTCAAGTAATGCATAACCATATAAAGATGGCTGAAGAATAATATATGTGAAGAATAATATATATATGAAATGGTATAGTGGTATAGTGGTATGGTATTTTCATTGGAAGAATAATACAGTGAAGGTAAACAAAAGTAACTACAAATTGAAAATGTTCTATGTTTATTGATATTATTACATTACGACATTTAAGTCAAAGATAATAGAAAAATTTAATGAAACAAATGATTTAAAGAAACATTAAGATATCGCAAAGATACTAAATAATAATAATAAATGGTAAATAATTGAAGGAATACAATAAAATAAAAGTACCTGGCAGCCAATGAATGTCGTGACTCTGTACCGCCTCGAATTTCCATGAGATTTTTTAGCTTTCTAGAATCTTTCTAGTGGTTTGTGTTACCGGGCTCACTGGATATCCGTACTTCATCAGTTTGCTACGCAATTCCGCATCGCTCAGGGCATCCTCCGACATTTTGTTTACAGTCAAAAAGCGGTTTTTGTCAAAAGAACCCAGTAGAAAATGTTGCCTCGTGCGCGAAGTTCTTGTTAGCTACTTCTATGAAACGTAGTGACGAGTTTTGTCCAAAGGCAGTCGTGCAATTGGAAAATTCACACTATCACTAAACCACACGTGTCTCACCTCTCAGGATATCATGAATGTTTCACTATGATATCAAAAAATGTTAGAAAATGATCTTACTTACAACTAAAAAATGGCGCAATTTTCTAACGGCCGTGATCACGCGCATAATCGTTCAACACCATTTCACGCTACTCAATGCTGTCATCCATAGTCATAGAATAAAGTTTATCAAGATAACCTCACTCGAAACTCGCGGTTTGGTATAACTTTTTTCATTCGAATTTCTCTCGTTGAAAATCAATTTAAAGTTAAAGCTCTTTCTTTTTGCAATTTATTGTATAATTATTTTAAATAATAATGTAATGATTTAGTTTTCTATTCATACGATTAATGGACAAGATATTGAAAATTTATTAAAGCAGCAAAATTTTTCAATGATTTACATTCATATCATTGATTTGTGATTTTTGGAACAGCATATTTCGGAATGGCAATGCTCATATGCTAATTATAGAATGCACATGTAGTCGCGAATTACGCATAGTCTTTATTATGACAAAAGAAAAATAATACTATAAATAAATATTAATTGATGTTTATGGAATTTCGTACTTTTAGAAATGTAACCAGAGAAATGAAACTTAAATAGGGCTCCTTATTTTACCTACTAAATCTGTGGTCAGCAGATGAAACAATATAAGTCAGAATTGCAAAAGTGCACTTAAAATATGTAAAGTGCGATGTAACATCAACTGTTGGATTTTGAATATATTATTAGAACCATATTATTAATTATGTTATTAGAACCGCAAGCAAAAGAAAATTATGTAGAATATATAAACGTATTCTGTCTTGACAAAAATTTGACTTATACTTTTTTGTGTGAGAAATATTATAACAAGTATTTTCTTTGGGTATTTCGTACATTTTTGTATCTTTGATATATTGAGTTGGCAACTCAAATGACAATGAGGGAACATTCTTGTGATCTATGTATTTTCCCTCTTTTCTATCCACCCCCTATAGTTCGCTTTTTGTCACAGGAAACATGGTCTGGAAGAACGGACAATGGAAATTCGGAATCTTCCCTGTCTTTCGCTTTTTATCCGACTTTCCTCTTTCTCGCCGTTATCCTATTTTTCGACGTTCAATCGAGTCAATTGAATCAATCGCGGCCGATTAAAGAAACGAGATCTTGGACAAACCTGTGGACGATGGCGCAGACGAGATCTGTCGAATCGAAATGTCCGAATGACCATGATTTTTATGACGTGATTCTCTTCCATTTTCGAAGGCGAAATTCATTTCGTGCGAATTCACGTAATCGACCACCCTGGTTTGTCTAACAACTGCAGACGAAACCGATTGGCTGAAACGACACGATTACAGCTTCACTCAGATTTGTATAGTGTACGTCATGGAAATTTTCTCAGTAAATGAAATATGAAAATTGCTAGATAGATAGGAAGTTTCAATATTTTTCCTGTTGCTCGACGAAAGACTCGAGGACGCACGCGAACAAGCGATTTCCCGGAGAAGTCAAGTGTTTTAGCAAATATTTTCATAGCAAACATGCCGTATGCTATATACCGTGATTCTAAAACGCGATATATACAATGCTTGAAGTGCATTGACTTCCTTTGAACGAATTAGATAGAAATAATAATTGTCAGTAGAACAATTCTGTTAATTATTGTTAGCGAATAATTGTTATTTCTATATCTGGTTTCAGTGATCGATATATAGTGTACGTATAATACTTTTTTATCACAGTGCTTTTTAAGTAATTTGCAATTGCGTGTATATCTCAAATCAAATAATGGATCCATGGAAATGTACGTTGTAGGTTATGTACCTACATATGTCATGTATTTTCATTGTTCACCCTTTTAAATCATAGAGGGCATAAGAAAAGCTTTGGTGTTTTTGAACGATCGGTATTTCAGAACGTCGGACGCTAAGTTCCGTAGGGTAATAAGATCATCGCGTATCTTGGCTGTGACGATGTTCATAGATTATCTGACACAGTGCGTGCATAGAATGCGCAGAGTTTGAAGTAATAACGCACATAGATGATAGTCTATCTTTACTTCCAGCTATAGTACTTGTTTGTTTTGTAAAGACGTTGTTACCCTTTTGTTGCAGGTTATTCAGCAGCCGCGCTTCTCGCAATTTTGTTCTGCATCCCTTTCGCACTCAGGGTCCTTATTCATAAAGAAACAGGCCGATGGAGAAATTGGATGCAAGCTTTCTATCATACTCATCTCGAACTTTTCTTAGGGAATGGCTGTTTAGGTAAGAACTTGTAACGTTTTAAATGCTTCGTTGCAACGATCTAGTCTTTTCGATGTACACATAGTAGATCTATAAACGAATACGATATATACGTAATATCTATAAGCGAAACACGTTGGTGTTTGAAAAAATCGATCGAGTTACCGACAACATATCATTCGATGGTAAACGAAAAATGTCTTATCGCTAAACGTTCGGTTACGAATCGATCGTTCTTCCAGGGGTTGGAGTGATGATGCTGCTAGCACTGACGGTGGAACGTTACGTTAGCGTTTGTCGGCCTGGTCAGTACACTCGTCCGCTCTGTGGGCCTCCGCATTTAACGGTGGCTCTCATTCCCCTTGCAACGTTTCTGGTTTATCTTCCGAGTGTGTTTCGCGAAGAAATTACCACTTGTCTTCTGGCACCGGATGGACCGGTTATTTATCAAAAGAGGGAAAATCAGTCGTATCTCGACTCGATGTTTTATCAGGTATCTAACACTCGCGTAATTTGGCCTTCGCAATCGTAACCTTTCCTAATTTTGTCCATCGTCGTTTCTGCGCAGGTATACAAGGTAATTTTGGAGATCGTTTTCAAAGTAGCGCCGACGATACTTCTGGCTGGCTTCAATCTTCGAATAATGATAGTCTATCGGCGATCCTGCGAACGTCGTCGGCGAATGACACTGTCCAGGACAGCGAGCAACGACGAAGATCCGAGAACGTTCGCGGAAGAGAGAAGACTCGTGCTTCTTCTAGGCAGTACCAGCATATTGTTTCTGGTCTGCGTTAGTCCTATGGTAATTCTGAATGTCACATTGAGGGAGAGCAATCTCAGTCACTATCCTTACCAGGTAATTGTTCCAGACTACGCTCGCTAACCGTTCACGGTTCCATTCACTTCGCTCGGAAACCGATCTCCATTTTTATGGCAATCCTGTCTTCCAGGTGTTTCGCGCTCTGGCCAATTTGCTAGAGGTAATCAATTACTCGATTACCTTTTACATCTACTGCATGTTCTCGGAGGATTTTCGAAACACCTTGATCCGCACTCTGCAGTGGCCCTGCAGGAAAACCAGCCACGAGGGACGAGGACTTCCGATGAAACGTTCCTCCATACCGAGACCGACCACCACCACCACTACCACTACTACCATCACCACCACCGCACTACCGACAACCGCCGTTGCGACTCCTGGTCATTTAACGCGTGCCAGCGTTTACTGGCGTTTAGTCTCTCTCTTCCTATCCTATCCGCATCAAAGTCATCTGAAAGGAGAGAAACCGTGCGAAACCGAATTTTCCCAACCGCAAAACTCCGACGCGGTATATCAGTCTACTTCCTCCGGCAGTGCTTTAACAAGCATCCCGCGGTTGTTAAATATCATAACGCGATATCGGATACATCGGCAAATATTAGTATATCGCGACTCGCGTTTTGCTTATGGAACGAACTCGAACCAACGCGATATCGAACTATCGTTTCTGCCGTCGAAGCTCTCCAACAAGAAGATTCACCGATTTTTCACTGTGATGCATTCCACCCTTATCGGTTCGGCGACCGAACCACAAATTTACAGTTCCGACTGATATTTCCACGATCTTGTCAATCGCTAGCGAGATCGGCTCGTGCTAATATCGACGCGGAACGAAAGGAAACGGAACGAAACAGAACGAGACGGAACGAAACGGAACGAAACAGAGCGGAGATATCGCGTTGGTTACAACCGTTACCTTCCCGAATTATATTCGGTTGGCAATAAGTGATTGCGGATGTTGCCATTAGATGGTATTGACAAAATCCGCAATCACTTAGTTGCCAATCTAATATATGCACGTGCTACCGATTCATAGATTAAAATTTTGGCGGCCATTTTTTGTCACTGAGATCTTCCCGCATTTCCGAGGAGACTTTCCTACGCTCTGTTATGAAAGCAAACCTATTTTGTCGAGATTCAAATCAAATTTCGTTCCGATCGTTCTACGACGAAGGTGCAGACGATTCTGCGCTTCTATATCTTGTTTTCTATACATGACACGATGGTAAAAAGAGTACGCGCAAAGTGCGACAAGCAAGCTCGATACTTCCGCGATAGAACAGTTCTGAACACAAAGCGATGCGTCAAGAATGGAGCGGAAATGTATTCGAAATGTAAGAGAACGGATTTAATAAAAGGTATTTGCCAACGTTCCGAAAATATCGAAAACGCCGATTTATTTTAAAATAAGAGCGGGATCGATCCTCCCTATTTCAGCGACAGCTCGAATTAAACGCGTGCATTGGTTCCATCTTTAGTTCCCTCGAAGGCTGGCTAAAATTCGTTTCCCCTGTTCTCACGTTTCCTAACACTAACGTGTTCACAATCTTCATGCCTTTTGTTATATCGAGAACATGACTCGGATTTGTCTGCGCCGCGTGGGTAAAGTCGAGCGTACGAAGGCTTCGCGTTGATAAATTCGCTTGATAATTTCGAATGTCGGTAAGTTGCGTGACCAAGGATCGAGATATCGCGGCTCTGCTTAGCGAGTCAGCAGATAATTAACGATAAAAGTCAGTCGACGTTACGGGAGAGAAGCAGAAAAAATAAAAAAAGAAGCGCCACTAGTTCGTTTCTCATCTCGTTCAGCGAGCAACGAACAACTGTCGCTGTGATTATCGTAGGAGACAAAAGCGTTTGAAAAGCTAGTGGAAGAGAAGAAAGAGGTGGAAGAGGAGCAGAGGGTTAAAAGCAGCCATTTTTTTGACACGGCAAAACACGACAAAACGCGTACAAAGCTGCAAACATGGCTGTCGAGGACACGCTGTTTACCACGGAACCTGTGTATTGCCTAAGTCGAAGCTACAGAAAGCACGGCGAAAGATTAATTCACGAATGGATTCTACGACCATAAATAAAAATATTTGTATATTTCCACTGGAATTGGCTCAGAGAATATACTAAGAAAATAAATCACGCGTTCTTAAGAATGTGCCATATCATCGCGTCAACCTACGCAACGCGGAAGAGCGCCAAACTCGTTCGGTGGACTCGTCCTCGTCGCGACGAAACGATTATTTCCAGCTAAATAATATCTTCTTATTGTTTTCCAGGTATTCGTTTCGTACCTATTCAAGCCATTCCACTCTTCTATTTGCCACCTTCTATTTGATGTTTTCCCTTTGAATCGACCAACAGAAAAAGCGTGCAAACAGAGAACACGTGTCTGCTACGTTTTCATCCATCCTATTAGGACGATCATGGACCTTACAATGGATTTCGTTGAAACTGTACGACGAATATACGCAGACGCTAAATTTCGATCGGGAAGCGCATCTGGTTTTAAACGAAATCGCGCGGTCGCGTTTTCCGCGTAAATCTCCTGACTCGCTCGTCTCTTAAGTGCTCGTCATCCAGCGTTTCGACGACTTTTCGGCGGAGTCGATACTCGACGCGTCACGTTCCACGTCCACATCGAACAAACCGTCCCTTTCGAGTTGTGTGCGACGTGGGGCGGACGGACGTATCCTGTCCGAAGCCTCTTTTGTCCGCAGTCGATCAAATTTGGGTGGTCCAAGAAGCCGACAGAAAGAGAAGGGAGTGGAGAGCAAGAAAGGATATCGTGCACCGCGTCGAGAAATTTTTGGAGGACGCGAGATGGCAGCGAGCGATAGTAGACAGGGTCATCTATGGTGGGGGTTACTGTTTGGGTGGGCGTTGCTGGGTCGATACAGGGTGGCTTCGCCGTCGCCGCTCGCAAGGAAAGCGCAACGGGCCGGCGACGGGACCAGCAACGAATACTCGTTCGCCGTTTCTCATTTGCCTTTCCCAAAATTCCGCCAGTCTCGCTGCGTAAAAATCGCGGACGGTATCGACAATCAACGAGACGGATGAGAGAATGGTCATCGTCTTCACGGCGCGCGAGCTTCGGATGAATAAAATCGTTGCAGATTTAAACGTTCGAATGTTTCGATTTTCGCGTCGCGGAACACGCTCAGCCGATCAATGACGAGCTACGCGCTCTCATTTCGAATAACGTGAGAGACACGGTCGTCTGAAACGAATCAGCGTTGCATTAGGAAATCGATGATCTTAAAGCGATCCAGTCGGATGTAATTTCACTTTGTGAACGTTGAGTCGCAAAGTCAGTTCCCAGCGTTTATTTGAGCTCGTAGCGGTGAGAGGAAAACGAACAGCGCAAAGCGAAAAGTGGAAAGCACCTTCTGGCGTTGCTTTACCGATATTCTCGAGCGATGCTGTGTTCGACGTAACGGGACATGACGAATGGAACTGACTGCGCCCTTCGCGTTGCTCCTCCTCTTTAATTTATTGTGCTAACTACTCGCACTACTGACGCTTTTGGGACTATGCGACAAGCGTGCGGTCGATTATCGGTAAACGTTAATTACTCCGATACCACTGTCTCGTTTTATTCGCGTTCATCCCAATAGATTAGCAACGAAATAACGCGCGGCGCTCGTTAACATCGTTTGTCGTCCGCTTTGTTCGTCGGACCCTCGTCGGCTCCGATAATCCTTTCCGACAGATATACGTAAATAAGTACATACGTTAAGGATAAAGAAGTATCGGACCCCTACGTTACATTCGCGACATTTTAATTTAAATATAGCATCGCTCAAGATACTACGAACGAACGAGACGTCGCATGTGGTGTGCCATTGTTTCGTTCGTAGTATCTTAAGCGATGCCATAAATTATGCGGGAATTGTCGAATCGTTTGGAATCTATGCTCCTTGTAGAGTCTGTAAATCCCATTCGTGGTTTCTGTGCAACAATACGGTACCTCTTAGGGGGAATTTAATCCTATTAACCGAATGTGTATATCAGTCAACATGATAATGCAATTGATATTTTCCATTCGTCGTGTAACATCCTCGAAGCGAGCCATCGCTAGCGGTTGTTAATTATAGTAAGACAATTAGCTTCGTCAAATATTAGTTTCTTTATCTCGTTTTATTATCTTCGTTCTCCGACTGCTCTGTTCGTCCCGTGTTCTTCGTATTTAACGTACTGAAGGCTGTTTCCCGCTAACAAACGTTTACGATACTCGCAACGTTTAAGACTCGCGTGATTCGATCGCGTCGACGGATAACGATCGTTACTATCCCCAACTCGTCGAGGAAGATTAAACTGCAAAACGTTCGAGTGCAAGCACGTACTCGGAGTTAGCAGTGTTCCGTACTTGCGAGGATGGAGGCCAAATTGGTCGCCTGTTACGACCCTGGATCGCAGTCTTGTCCGCTCGATTTTCAGTCGTTTAGACGTTCGTTGAAAGTTCAGAGCAGACGGTAGGAATCGCTTCAGCTTTTTGGGGGAAAAACGCTGCAGCGGAAACCTCGAGCCGAGTCCGATTAGAACCATCGGAACACAGGAAAGTACGTTTCTTTTAAGGCGACAGTCTCGTTGGAATTTGAGCGGAGAGCGCGCGATGCCTTTCCATCGGAGATATCGTTGAAAGCTCGTTAGAAAATCCGTGGAACATGGTCGCCGGCGAGTCGACGTCGTTTGCACAACGTTTCAACGACTCTCGGCCTGTGCTTGAGACAAGCACGCGGTGGTTACGAGCGCAGCGAGCAACGCAAGTTTAAATGCAACGACGAAAGACGTAATTTTCCGCGGACACCGCGTCTAACTGTCTGCTGGGAAGAACGAACAAGCTTGTGTGTTCCTTCGCTCGTAATTTCCTCGATAACGTCGATAACGACAGGCATCGCGTGAAACAGCAAATTTTTGCCTTTCCAGCGAATTTTATTGCGTGCGAATAGCGTTACGTCCACGTTACGTCAGAGCTAGGTTACGTTACCGCAAGGAAATGCAATCGCCACGTGTATTTCTTTAAATCGTGCGCACCACAATTGCCGCTATCCAACTTCACCGTGTTCTTCCTTTGGCCTCTTCTATCTTACCCCGTACACTTGCTTTTCCTTTTGCGGCTAATTACGGCTTTTACTCGCAACCAGACCGTCTGGTTTATCCGCAATCGAATTCACAAGATGGATATTTTTCTGCAAGCTCCGACATAGAAATTGAAACAGCAACGCGTGACACACCGAATATTTTAATCGAATCTCTAAGCACGTTAACTCTGTTCCATTTGGTCGATCTCTTGGTCGAGTCCTTGAAACACTTTTTACCACGCACGTGTTACTATTTATTAGTAGTTTATCCTCGCTAGACTATACTGTTCTGCCTTTTTCACACGCGAATATATCGGGTTCTTTCCTCTCACGTTATATCTTCCTATACCAAAGGGTCCGAGTACTGATAAATAACACCAAATCGAATTTTTCGTCGCTTCGTCCAAGCAATCGATCGCGCTCGCGTGCCAGTTTAAGCATTTACAGCGGCGATAAAAAATGAAGCACGTTTCCCTTTTCCATTTGGCGAGGGTCGAACGCACTCCATAATCACAATCAACCGTTGAAAAAGTTGCCGATGTGAGTCATCGGCAGCGATGAGTAGCAATACACCGTAGGTAACGATTTCGTGGTAAACTACGAACAACTGGACAGACATCGTAATTTGTAAGATAGAACACGCGCGACGCTAATTATTCCTCGTTACTAATTCATCGAACACGGGAAAATGCATCAGGAACTCGCGTGCTCTTGTTGTATGTCCGTATGTTCTACTATATCGTCGTTCTTATTTACCGAAAGAAGCTACGCTCGTCACGATGTTTTTTTCGCAATATCTTTTCGATATCCTTTCGAGAAACAAGGAATACACGCGATGGAAGGAGACGACGCAATGCAGAAGGAAAATTTCGACGCGACATGTTGGTCGTCGACACGTTGGTCGCCACGTCACCCATATTTATGTGACGGGCATCTTTCCGTGGGGGCTCGTAACCCAAATACGGGTGACGCTCTTTTTGTTCGAGTTAATTAAATATAGGACATACAACATAAAAATATCAAAAACACATTGTACCATACTTTTTATCAATCTATATTCTGGATGAAATATTACATTATGCTATGTCGCATGGTATTCGTTAAAACATTCCAAACACGTTTCGGGTGATTTTGGACACTTCGAACAATATGTTTCGGGCTTTTTTACGTTTCTTCTCGCCTCTTGACGTGCGACAGTTTGCCTCTTCTTCTCGTAACATAGGGTGCACATCCTTCTTATAGGCTTGTCCTGCTGATTCTTACGAATCTCCAGATGGCGGGGCACCTTCCTCGTTTTCTTGCGATGGTTGTCGGGCGCGGTATTTTTTCATGACACATTCGACCATTCGGAAACGAGAATTTCCCGAAATTTTCTTATCCGTATTTTTTTGTTTGCGACTGTTTGGTACACAATGCGAGCATTTACTATAGTTGTTCCTAAGAGGAAATGTAGTGCTAATTTCGGATACCACTTGATACTTTTCCGTATCGTAGTGACATACGAGACCATCTGGTCGCTTCTGTCGATACCAGTTTTTCCATTATTCTATACTACTCTTCTCACTATCAAATATATTTTCACGCTGTCTACTGAGCATTTTGAGGATGAAAAAATCACCGATGTGCGTCTCACAAGAAGTACGCTTCTCGACTAAATGAAAGATCTGAGATATCTGCCATGAGATCCCTCGGAATACGATCGGATTTGGACCCCGCGTGGAACTTAGCCGAATTACTTAGCCAACGTGTTAATTAATTCATTTATTTATTTATCGTCACGCGTACATTCGCGTCGAGCGACACTGCAATGCGAGTGCGCGAAGAGCGTGCAAAATAGAAAAAGCGTATGAAAGTGGAACACGTGGCGACTCGAGTCTGACGCGATATCGATCGCGCTACTTGATCGTTCATCGACTCGAAAATCTTTCATCTTGCTGCGCGGCCGTAATTTGCATATGGTTAAAGCAGGGCCGGATTTTCTAGCAACTGTTGGCGTCGTTTCCTTCACCGCGATAAAGCGAATCTTGCCGCTTTAACGCAAACAGATTTGCTGTCGTTAGAATAACCGAACGCGAACAGCGAAAATCCATTGAACGTAAAATGGGAAAAATCAATTCGGCTGGTAACGTGAGTTCGGTGTGAGCACACCGTGCGAATAAATCATTCGTTCGGTGTCGCCACCGACAGAAATACGCGGTATTTTTATCAATGCCGTTTCTCGTGTACCAACCACGGAATTCCAAATGTGCCGTCAAATTTTCTCGCCGCCCGTGTACGCACAAGACGTGGAAACTACGTTAACTATTCCGCCACAAGGTTACAGGCAAAGGTTCGTTTCAAAGAAACCAGCGAAACGCGCGCGCTACATTCGATTATCCGTTTACGAAACAGGAAACAAGATAGACGGTGCATTCGCTGCTCGATTGAAACATCGTTCGGCCGATAAGGAAAAATACTCGAGCCAGCAACGCAAGTATCGATATAACGAGAGTTGCAAACGATTTCGATAAACGTACATTTGCTAGAAGTATCGATACACCGTTGTATTTATAGAATTTACATGCTTAATTGGATCTATTGGGTTGGCAACTAAGTGATTGCGGATTTTGTCAATACCACCTAATGACAAAACCCGCAATCACTTAGTTGCCAATCGAATAAATAGAAGAAAAATCGGACAGATAGAAGCAGAGCGACAGACGAGATGAAATATCTGCGGATTCGGATAGACGCAACGTTTGACTGGACTTGACAGTGGAAAATCGTAGATTAGACGGAAGATAAGAAAGCGAAGTGTTTCGCGATAAACGACGACGGTATTTCGACCGCGAGTGAAAAGAAAGACGAAAATACAGCGACAGACGAGAGGAAAGGGAGCAGGAGGGAGGAGAAGGAATACAGAGAGGTGAACAGATCTCGCGATATTCTATCGTGGCTAGAGAAATGAAAGCAAAGAGTGAAGGTGGTATATCTGGGATGAGAAGGAGAGGAAGAGAGGAAGAGTGGAGTCGGAGAAGGAGATGTGGAAGGAAGTGGGAGCAGCGCGAAGGGTTGCGAGGGGAACGAGATGGAAAATGAAACGAGATGGAACGAACGGAGCAGCTCGGAAGGAAAGAAAGAGAGGAACATGGAGAATTCTCCGGTCTGAGCGGTGGCTCGCGCTTGCGCGAATCAGTAGCAACGCACTGGTACGTAATGCCATCGGCGAGCCAGTCTGACGCCAGGCACCGCGACGCTATGACGTCACTGGTCCGCGTTTTTCCACCGATCGTTTCATCACAGCGGTGAGAATTCATGAATGAAAACCGCTAACTTGGAGGCTTCCGTCGAACCTCGCGTGCATCCACGAGCCTGCCGTACGTGGAATCGCCAGGGAAATCGTGGTCCGCTCGTGCCACCGACGATCAACCGCGTCGATCGATTTCTCGATTCGTTGCACGAGAGACCAGATACGCGAAATGGAACGGACCCAGTGCTGCGACCAGTTAAATCTCCGCAACGCCTCCTTCACCGGCCAGCACCTGTGCGGCTGCCAGCCTTTTCGTTAACCTGCCACTTGTTCGTCTTTCCACGCGAGTTTCCACTTCGATCATATACGCGTTGTCCTCTTTGCGCTCTCTTTCTCTCTTCCTGCGGGAAAACGTTCAGCAAACTTCCAATTGCCTCTCCTTCGTTTTTATCTCTGTCTTCTCTGCGACAGCTTGTCCGACTGACACAGTCTGTTCTTCGAAACTTCTTCGAACGAGGGATCGTTTAGTTTCTCGCGCTCGGTATCGCAAATGCGCTAGTACGCGTATAGTAATTTCGCGTCTTGCACCGCAGTTTCCAGCGACGATGGTGCGCGACGGACCTCGTTTTCGATAGATCGGTATGATCGGCGCAAGAATACTCTTTTCGTTAGATTATACGCGCGTTATACGTCGTAAACGATCATCGTGCAACAATGACAATCGAGCTTTTAACAAAAACGAAAGATCCTTGGTGTCTGTCAGATTCTTCGTGCTGTGGTTTCGACAGCAACCAACTGCGAATGCGATGAACCGCGTTCTTCTCTTCTCCGCTGGTCATCTCATTAGATGAAATGCGATACTCGATACGCATCGATTAAAATTAGTCGGCGATATCGGCGAAACTCGCAGCACAACGACGTGGCCGAAACAATGCGTGGAGAGCGCGCAGCTAACGTCGCGTCGGCTACTTCTGGCAATACACGGTGATTCGATAACGCTGCAGTCCCGGTGCCGGATCGTTCCAATTTATCAATTTATCTTTTTTCCCATTTTCTTCGCGCACGTTCCTTCTCTTCGATCAGTCGTCCCCTCGGCCAATTTAATTTTCCTAACGCGTCTGCGACTGGTTTTTTGCATCGTAACCGTGCGACCCTTCGCACGCCGGATGCCACTCGTATGCAAATATAACTTTTACGATCCACAGTGGCCAGAAAATTCTGCCGTTTAAATTCCAGGCGAATAGTTGGTCGGCGATCGTATTACCATCGATTCTTTGCAAAGATATATCGCGTCGGAGAAGCAGCCCGCGAGATATCTCGTCCGCGCTTAAGGAAATTAGTCGCGCACTTGATAGAGATTCGAAAATTTAACGATAAACTACGAACCGTAGACGCCACGCTGTTGTCCGATAATCGGATTTCTTCCTCGCAAGAGTATCGTTACGCTTTCATCGAAAGGAAAATTCATTTTCCGATATGAATGGGCTTTGCTCGTGATACGCGAAGCCTTCGTTTATTTCGTTGGACTGGCGCGTTCATCCAACGTCGACCTCCGTTTTCTAATGTTTGCTCGAATAATACACTTCGATCTCCTCATTTCTCATTTACTTTCTAACAAAATCGAAAGTTACGACTTCGCATAGAGCGACGTGACACGAAAATCGGCGTCTCGATGCTTTCGGTTTCCCGATGCTTCGCGATAAGCGAGTGAAGTGTAGGAAACGGGAGAAAAACGCGCATTCCGAGTGTTGTTCGCGACCACATGACGGTGTGAGCCGAGGCCAAGGGTAGTCGGCGGGTCTTGGTTGACCCTGCAGGTTGAGGTGAATAATTGAAGGCGGCACGGCTATACTTTAAACCTTCTCGCGAAACTCGATAAGCGTGGCAAGAAGCATGCTCGCTTCTGAAAACGTTTCCTAGCGTTTACATGGACACGGTGGCGCCTAGTTGTCACGATACGGCGAAACATCGTGTTCCGCGATCACGAACAACCTGTGTCGAGCAACACTTTTTCTTCTTCGTCGAGATTGCGGTATCGATGACTGGAAATAGATCGATCGTTAGTCGAATCATGCAAATTATCCGGGGATTATATCTTACGTAACGTCGTAAGTCTGTTATCCTTTACCTAAGGAAACGTTGGTGAATAATGCAACAAACAACGAAGCAATTATTCTCAGATAGGATAACGCAATAACGGAAAGCGAATAGGAAAACAACAGTCTGTGCGCGAGCTGTTGTCGCATCAAGTTGGGAATTACGTTGCTCGACGGAACGCATTTGCCGATTCGATGAACTTCAATCGAAATTCATCTGCTCGATGCTTCTCGAACGAACAGAAAAAGGGAAAATTCCTGCGTAGAATCTTGGAACGATGCGACGATCGGGTCGACGATCTACCGAACGTATTAAACGATCGCCGTGCGATTTAATCGTTTCGTTCGATTCGCAAATGATCGTGAACGTCGTTTAACAACCGCAATCGTTTCTCGCTATTTTTCCTATCGTTTCATACGACTTGCGACTATAAACAGCCGCTCAGATCATTCCACTTTCAACACGTACTTTCTCCTTGCACCAGGCACAGTGATTTCATCGGAGTGTTAAACGAAGATCTTCTCGCTATACTTCGTCCAAGCAGTTTAAAAACCATTTTCCTATTTTCATCGCCATTTCTGGGTCACGTACGTATTTTCGACGATCTGCGAGAGAAAAAAAGCCTCGAAACGCGACCTGATATTTCCTCTAACGAGTAGGTTAACAAGTTCGCGGATTTCCTAACATTTCGATCGGTATATAAATTCTCGAAAGCTCGTTGTAATTGAAAAGAAAATCCACTCGCCGGTTGTCCCGACGCGACGCGAAAGGAGCAGAAATCCATTTCGCTCTCGGCTGGTCTGCTCTGTTTTGTCCGCAAAGTAAATTTTTCAAGGACGAACGTAGGAGTCCCTGGCGATTCGCGTCTAGCTTCGAAGAGATGCGACGGCGCGGCGCGGCGGAAGAAAAACGAATATGTAGAACGATATCGCATCGAACCATTGTCTGCAACGCTACCAACGAAAACCGACTTTTCCAGACATCTACTGGAGCTGGTGTGACGCGCGAGTTCCTTCGGCTATAAACCGAATATAAACCAGGTGAATCCGGAATCAGGAGCCTTTCAACGCGGAACAGAGTTTCGTCCGTGGTGTTCGCTTGCGAACGAATCTGAGCGACTATCAGCTGCTACATTTTCAAAGAGAAAAATCTCGCGGACGAACGCGAGCCGGCAAACTCGAAGCGACCTTGAGACAACGTGGAGGATTTCCCACGAGACCGTTGGTTGCCTGATCCGCAAAAGAGAAAGTGGACAAAGGGACAGACATTCTCGCGCTTTCTTTCCTTTCTATAGACACGTTTAAATTATTTTGGAATAAACTCGGCCGGTTGACCTTCGAACAACGCGAAAGATGCAAAACGGGCGGTGAGACGGTTTCGGTGTTGGAAGATACAGAGGAAAATTAGAAAGCTACAGCGCGAGCAAGGTTGATCGTCGCGAAGCGAAAGAAGTCTGTGGAGAAACATGGGGAAGAAGAACAGCAAGCTGAAACAGGATACCATCGATCGACTCACCAATGACACGTATTGTGAGTATCGTTGTTACTTTTTCCTTGCAAAGACAGACTGTAGCCGCTTATATCATGCTTTTTACAAAATTACCCGTCACAGTTCCCCCTTCAACGTTTCGTTTCCGCCACGTCGTTTCTCTTTCGACGTCGCATCCTTTGCATATTTACACGCCCCGAGCACGCCGCCCAGTTGACAGCCGCAGCCCTTTCTAGCGACGCCACGCCACGTATCCACCTGTTTAACGAGAAACGCGACGTTTCATCGCCGGAGGAAACGACGATTTATCGGATCTGAACGTCATTCGTACCGAGTCACTCGCGCTGTTCTTGGAGTTACGAACAACTCGCTAGCTTAGATCTACGTATTTTTCATAATTTGATGATTTAATAATTCTACGTTGCTGGAAGCCGAGATCTTTCTGCAATGCTTTCGTTTGATGCCGTTTAAGCGGGTAGCGATTATCGGAAAAATGAAAAGTCACGGAATCGACAAATCCTTATATCTTCGGGAAACAGTCGTTTCATCGGCGAAACGTTTTTTCGTCAAAGTACGGGTTCACTTAAATCGTTAAGAAGCGTTCTCTGCTAGATCGTTAAGGAATCTTAATAAAACGAGCGATCAAAGAATGGAGGTTCGTTGATCGCAACGAGCTTTCAATCAACGACGATCAACAACGTTAGAATAGATATGTAAATTGGCCTGCCGATGCAAGGACGACCTCTGAATAAAGGAAATCCTTGATGGAAGTTTCGCTGCTCCGTTGGAATTATCAGCGGACAATGAGAACGATCAGACTGTTGGTGTCGCGTTCCATTTAATGATCCGAGATCGGAGATAATTTCGATCGAAGAAATCGTATTTCGAAAGGGACAACGATAAGATGCACGTGATTAAATGCCTAGAGTTCGTTTGCGAAGCTTTCGCTTTACTTTCATTCCCCCTTCCTCATAAAAAAAATACACAATATAAATTATCGATGAGATCGAAAGTTTCGACGTTTGTTCAGCGATTAAAGTTTTAACTGGTCTGGTCCGGTCGTTAAATTGTATTTTTACGAGGCGAAGAAATCTTCTTGGCGATGGAATATCCAAATAAAACACTCGTGGGCGCACTCATGAGAGAAACAATCGCGATTACGATTTAACAGCATAGGTATTATTATTATTATATTATTATCAATATTGTAGGATTACAGTGTAAGCTATCCTTGATATAATAATATTTAGGAGGATGGAATAATTTTGCGGATAGGATGATCGCGGAAATACCACTACGTATCAGGACTATGACAGAGACGTAATCTAGCGACGACGAATTTCACGTATATACCGTGGACGTGAAAATCCAACGTCAGCTTTCTTATTGTTACCGAGACAACGTCCCTAGTTGGGTTCGTTCGTAATAGATACCACACGATCTTCTCCTTCTCCGGTTTGCTCGCGTATATCGCGCTTTTTTTTTAAATTATCAACACTTTGAATGCCACGTTGGTCATATTTGACCGGCCACGGTTTCTTCTGTGACGCCACGGTGGCTTGAACTTCTTACAATTGCAGAAATTGAATGGAAATTGACAATTAGGGCATTTTGAATATAACCGATAAATAGAATATACTTTGAAATAAAAAGTGCCCTATTGAACGATTAAACGTTTTTATTAGAACATCGATAAAAAAAATGAGAACAAATGTTGCATCTAACGGTGCACTGTGTCGAAACACTTTAAACATAAATGTGGCTCGTCAATACAATCTGGACGATAGATGGTCACCTTTTCGGTCCGATTCTTAGCAATTTTTCATCCTAACTGTTTAACATTTTTTTATAGCACTCTCTGCAAAATTTTCGTGCCAGGTACGCTTTCCCTTCTTTCTTCTGCGTTTCGTGTCGCGATCTTTGTCGAATAAATATATTTGACGGCTCTGGTGAACGGCACTGTGTAAGGTGCGTTGCGCGTGCCATTCTAAAATCTGATACCTTGATTTTTGTTTTTCTTGCTTGTTTATAGAGTATCATCGCGTTTGAAATTGATGTATTTAATAATAACTCTAAAGCTAATTTTATATACCACTCGAGGGTTCTTCTATGTAGTGTGGAATATGCTATCGTTCGATCTGATAAATCTACAGCACATTTTCCTCTATTGTAATCTGCCACTACCATTGCTTTATCAGAAACATAATCTTTTTTGCGGACCTCTACCATTTCAGCCGAATGTTTCATCGAAATCATAAAAATAATCATAATGCCGTTCACTAATATCTTCTACACGTTTCAACACTATATTCTGCACATTTTGCTTACGACGAAATAACGAATGCGAATGGTTTGTTGAAATATGTATGTTATAATATGTCGCTATCAAAAGTTACCAAGGCGCCACGGTGGTCACCCGTGGCCACCAATAAGATAAACGGTTCATTGGGCAAGAATGTTGTCTTACATCATCAATTTATTATTATTGTGCCATTATATGCTTTGAATAATAAAAGTACTCTCGTGGCGTCCTGAGCGAAACATCTGATTTCGGGGTGGCAGTTAAAGTGTTTGAACCGTTTGAATCACAAGCAGTGCGATCGCGCTGTTTAGATTTTATGTGAAAAAGTGCGAGTACATTTGAACGCTGTGGACGACTCGCGGTATTTTGTGTTTCATTGTTATCTTCTCAATAATTTTTATCGCATAAAACTCGAAAAATTTATAAACTGATAGTATGCATATACAGGGTGGTTGGTAACTGGTGGTACAAACGGAAAGGGGGTGATTCTACGCGAAAAAAGAAGTTGAAAATATAGAATAAAAATTTCTTGTTTGAGGCTTTGTTTTCGAGAAAATCGACTTTGAATTTTCGCTCGGTACGCGTGCGGTACGTTATAACGGATCTCACTATAGATCGTTGTCTCGAAAATTAAAAAAAAAAAATTTTTATTTTATATTTTCGACTTCTTTTTTCGCGTAGAATCACCCCCTTTTCGCTTGTACCACCAGTTACCAACTACCCTGTATAATAACATAGATGTATTTCATAGAAATAACGAATATGACGAGCGCTGTTGCACCGCTTGTTTCTCTTCGCAATCGATTAAGACAAGCGCTATCGCGCTGTTTGCAATTTTTCGTCCCTGTTTTTTCAAACACCCCTGCGACTGAAACGGTTAAGCAACTCGTGAACTACGAGTGCGAGTATCGAGGTAGAACATGCTGGCTCGGTAAATAGCGTTCTCGTAAGATTTCATCAATCTGGAGCGTGTACCATCGCGCAACGCGAGTCCGGGAAACTTTCGAAAAGAAAAGGTGCTGTTAACGGCACCGTTACAAAAATCGATACCGTTGGCCCAGAATGTTGTCGCCACTAAAAGTCGTCTACTTTCGTTCAAGTGTCGTTAGAAATATCGACGTTTCGAATGGAAAACGGCGTCGCGATAAACCGATCGGTCCACTGAACAGGTCGCAATGTATTTTCGGTGATTCGTTGGAAAACTAAAACGTGGAAATAAGCGTAAAAGTATAAAATCGAACGAGCGAGCTGGAAGAAAAACAGAACCGTTCTGATTGATGGATGATGCCCCATACGTCGAGAACAAGAAGATTCGTAGAATCGGTTACGTGATAGGAATTTATCGCACGATTTCACGATAAACGTCCATCTGATAGAATGTTGCTCGTACAATTATCTTGGTCGGTAGATCGCGGCGCGTAATTAATGTCGCAGTGTATCGCATGGTTTATCAATTTTTGCACATCGAAGCTTCGATACGCATCCCCGCACGAAATCAAGTTAGCTGCTTTCTTTTCTTGCGTCTACGAAACGTAAATTGATTTACGAACGTTGCCGCGACGTAATTATCGTTCGCCATTAACGAGAACGTTATCTATCAGCGCCGTTTTTACGACTTCGTTATCGCCACGAATTGCCTCAAACTTTCCTTTAGTTTAGTATTGTTCGATCCTGAGCTCGTTATAACGTGTAGATTTGTTTAATAAAGAAACGAGTGGACGAATTCGTAATAATCCGATGTATTAAAATCAGTATAAGTACAAGAGATAGTGTATGCCAATTATAATCGTCGCTCGCTCAATGCCACTATACTAATCGAAGAAAGAATAATAATACTAATTGCTCATAGGTAGCACGTTCATAAATTTATATCGATATACGGTAATAACAATCTGTCCAGAGTTCATTTATCTTGCAAACCAAACAATTTAGTTTGATTAGTATTCAAAGGCACGATAATATGAGTCTCTCGCAGATTTGAATTTTCGTTTCAACTTTTTCTACAGCCATGAGCCGCTATGATCCTTACGAAATTTTTTTTTTATTATTATTTAATTTGTACTTTACAATTTGTCCAGTTGGACATTCGGTAAATTTTTATGGTTTAATTGCTAAATAACGCGTGGATGGCTACCTCCAACGGAATACGTCTTCGAGCTTGACTATTTTATTTCTTTAGTGAGGCTAGTAGTGTGTTTTCTTTTTAGTCTTCTTTCTATGAGAGATTTGCTCGCTTCAGCAACCAGCTGGTTTGGATGTGTTGCCGTTCTTTCCTTATATTTTTCCGCGTACCTGTCGGTTTCTTCTTGACCGTTGGTATTTTTAAGTCTTTGCGTATATCCTCGGTTCTGCATACCATGGGGCGTTGACTATTGTTCTTAGTATCTTCGATTGTAGCGCCTCTAGTTTACTTATGTGGCCCATTGCTGCTGTCCCCCATAGTGGCATTCCGTACGTCCAAATTGGTTTTACTATCGTTTTCTAGATTTTTAGTTTATTTTCTATGCTCAGTTTAGAGCCTCGATTAGTTGGTCAGTACATTTTATCCGTATTCTGTCTATAATTGATTTAGTATATTGTTTTCGTGTAAGTTGTGTGTTTAAGTGGAGTCCTAGGTATTTAACTTGCCTTGTTTGTGTTATGTGCGTGCCATTCAATTGAATATTTGTGGTTTCCGTTTTCGTAGTGTAAATCTAATATTGTTCCATTTGTTGGGGTTTGCTTGCCTTTCGAAATGTC